CTATGTAGAGATTAATATCACAACAGACTGTTGCTCTTGAAGCTACTATTTCGTGCATTTAATTGTTCATCACTGTTACCGTAGCAATTAAAGAAAATACATTCCATTACGGCAGTGCTCTTTCTGCTAGTGTACTTTTTTGGTTGGGATCGTTTTTGTCTGTCTCACTATAAATGGGTATTTAAATATAATGAAAGTTAACATTGGAAAAAATTAAATGCAAAATAAATTAAGACAATATAGTTATTTTACCTTTTATGCTTATATAATGCATAAAAAGTGATAAGGTTTATTCTGCTCTGTTTGTGCTACGTACTATGAGAAACAACGGAATGGCATCCAAACTTTAAGTTCTTGTTGGTCTTTGCATCTTTTACAATTTAGCTCTATAATCTGTCTTATCTTCATAATGCCTGATGATTCGGCTTATGAAGTCGAGGCCATTGGCTGGTAGAAGGATGCGCATTATATAATGATTCCTTTGGTGCTTTGTAAAACGCTAAAGTTAGAATCGATACATAGTAGTGATATTTTCAGACGAAGTAAAGAAGAAGTTATGTCGCAGTTGCCGTCGAAAGTTCGCAAAGTTGTGATCTTGGATCTGAATCTGGTGAAGGATAAAGCGGATTCTTTGGTCGAAGCAAAAACCAATTATCAAGGGGTAAAATTCATCGAAATTTGCAAACCTGTTGTAAGTTGTATTTTACTGATGTATGTGCTTTTAATATACAGTGGTTGCGGTTAGTGGAATAGCCCTCAGACCTGAGGGTTAGCTGCGAAATAAGCGGAGAAAATGGCGACAGTTCTACTAGGGCGTGGCGAACCAACTTTTGGCAAAGATGGCTCTAGAAAATACCGCCTGATGACAGCGCGGTATCATCACGAAGCGTACCGCCATCAAATCAACATGATGCTAACCCCAACCAGCCGCAGCCGGTTCCAAGCCCGTTTTAGAAAGACAGGTCTGCGTCAGGCAGGCAGTCGGCGAACCAGTACCATATATGATGAGCCAACTTACCTCTAGAAAGAATTCTGTGGCGTTTCGACAGGCGACGCTCAGCAGCAAATCCCAGCGGCTGTGAGAAAGAGATTGACATGCCGAAAACGCAACGAGAAAATGCAAATAGTTATTTGGAACATTGGAACAATGACGGGAAAAGGGCATGGAGCTAACGGAAGCTTTTCAGAGAAGAAAAGTTCAGATCGCTCGTATCCAGGAGACGAAATGGGAAGGTGAGAAATCGAAAGAGATTGCGCTAGGCTACAAACTCATTTACTGTGGAACATCAAGCAGAACAAACGGAGTTGGAGTGGCATTGAATGAAGCGATCAGAAACAGGGTATTTGAAGTCAACGGAATTAACGACAGAATCATTGGCGTTAAGCTGACTAAGTAATATCTTAATAATAAGTGCCTACGCCTCCTAGACTGGGCAGAATGAGACCGAAAAGTTCACACTCTAGGAGAGCCTATTCATTGCACTGTAAAGCATACCGCGAAACGAAAAAATGATAATTGGAGGTGACCTTAAGGGGCAAGTCGAGAAACATCGAAAGGGTTACGACAGAATCCGTGGCGGACATGGACATGGTGTGTTAAATACAGGAAACAACATTTTAAAGGTAACAGTTGCATACAATCTGGCTCTGATAAACATCTTCCAGAGAAGAGAAACCACGTGCTAATTCACAAGAGCGGACAGAAGGAAAGTCAGATCGACTGCTTTCTACTCCGAAGGGACGAGCTTAATAACACCAGAGATTGCAGTATTATTCCGGGAAAACCATCGCAAGCCAGCAGCGGCTACTGGTCCTATACCTTTCTCTAAAACAGCCAATTGAAACGGTGGGCACGGCGACAGCTCCGAAGATACAGTGGTGTAAGCTCGAAGGGGAGCTGAATGAAGTGTTCAAAATGGAACTTCTGAGAAGAATGACGAAGGAAGACTGAGATAGGAAACTAGAGGAAGTATGAGAGCAGATGGCCAGCATAACAGGGCATGCCACAGGCTTAGTCGGAGAAACAAAAGGCAAAACACATTTCCAGAAAGAAACGTTTGGATGCGGATGTTCAGGCGACTCTACGATGGAAGAAAAACCTGTTCGAGAAATAGCAGTTATGAAATCTATGAAACTGCGTGAAAGGCACAGTAAAATATGCTGATCAAAGAGGGAGTCAAAGAAATTCGTCGCTGAAACGAGGTCCACAGCCTGTAGGAGCTTATACAAAACTGGCATTGGCAACAAAGGAAAGAGAGAAAGACATCTATCGCACAGCAAAAGCCAGAGAAAGAAGTTTCTCTGATAACAGGAGACGTCGGTAATGTGAAGTGCATAAAAGACGAAAGCGGAATGGTGGTAACCGACGAGAAAAATATTCGCAGCCGATGGCAAAGGCACTTACAAACGCTACTAAACGAAGAACACTCCAGAGATGCCGCGGAAGAGATCCTACAAAACTAGCATCTAGTCGAAAAAAATCTCACCGGAGGAAGTGGAACCAGCCTTGAGCAGAATAAGAATAAAAGATGTCTTTGGCCCGGATACAGTTCCAATAGAAGCATTTAAAGCACTGGGGCAAGAAGGCGTGGTTTGTCTCTGTGCTCTATTCAGCAAAGTTATTGAATATGAGAAAATTCCAGAATCATGAAGGCAGAGTATTTTGATGTGAATGTCCAAAATGAAAGGGGACATGCTTGCCTGTAGAACTACCGGAGAATTAGTCACCCCTGAAGCTATATGAGAGGGTGCTAGACAAAGGACTGAAGGAAGAAGTCGACATCACAGCGAACAAATTTGGCTTTATGCCAAACCTTTAGGCAGATCAACAGCTGATGCTATCTTCGCTTTAATACCAGTCCTGGAAACATACGGAGAAGGCAGACAAGACATTCACATGCTGTTCCTAGGCCTGGAGAAAGCCTTAGACTGAATCCCGAGGCAAGCAATCTGGTGGAGCATGAGAAAGAAGCTTTTGCCAGAAAAATATGTCTCACTTACCAAAACGTGCACGTCAGAGTGACAGCGTTAGTCCGAAGTTCATTGGCGAAACGGAATAGTTCCTTTTACGGGTAGGAGCCCATGAAGGATTCGCTTAGAGCCGATTCCGTTCTCGATGGCGAAAGCGCGATAACTGAGGATCTGCAGGAAGTATCCCCATATGGATGGCCTATGCAGATGATATAGCGCTTTGCAGCAAAAGCAGAGATGTACTAGAAACAGAATCTGAAACTTGGAGAACAGCTCTTGGGAAGAACACCCTCTTCGACTCATAAAATTCAAGTCAGATTTTATGGCGAGCTATTTCTATCGGGAAAATAGATCGAACCTTTGAAAGTAGCGGAGACCTTGCTGTCTCCAACCCAATTATTCACTTACCTTGGTTCCATCCTGCAAGATGATACGGAAATCGACAGCGAGGGAAGAATTCGGTCGCACAAAGCATGGCTAAAATGGAGCGAAGTGAACGGAGTAGTGTGCGATAAGATGCTCATCAAACTGAAAAGGACGGTGTACAGAACGGTAATATAACCTGTACTTCTGTACTGAGCGGAAAATTTGGCCATTCTGCAGAGACGACCAACAACTGAACTTGGTAGATATGGATGGATGTGTGGTGTCAACAGAAAGGACCACATCCGAAGCAGTTTCATAGGAGGCACCAATTTCAGAAAGGTTTATCGATAGCAAGCACCGTTGATTCGGTCTCTTGAAAAGAAGATCCGAGTACTATAGAAATGTTGTCCAAGCACTGATACTGCTAGGGAAGAAAAGAAAGGTGGTTTGATGTCGTCTAATACGATAAGAAAGTACTAGAAGTCATCGAAGATTTATCAAAGATAAAAAATATGGAGGAGAGTGACTCGATTAGCGGACCCCTGCTAAGGGAAATATGTTAGGAAAAAGTAGTTACGAATGCTATGCTGTTCTGGCGTAGGATGAAGACGACCTGAAATATTTTGATAAAGTTAAACGATTTAATTTCCGTAACTATGTTATATTTATGTAACAGCTCTTCGTAAGGATCTGTTCACTCTACAGAGTTTTTACTCTGCGTCCCAATGATGAGGTCTTTCATCACCCAATCGAACGTTTTGGTGCAGACGTTTGGGCGCAGGCTGATGGTCAGAAAGTTCTGTAATCATGAGTTTGAATTTATGTAATTGACAGTGGTCACCGGCACCGACTGTTTCATTCAGTCCCGCTGCGTTTGATGTCTTTGGAACGTTTTCAGTAAGCACTGTCTGTCAAACTGCCGAATTTGTAACATTTGCGTTTTATTTTATGAATCGGTCATTTACACTTTGCAAACTCATAATGTTTGAAAAATCGATTGTATATATTGATATTTGCCGCTATCCCATTTCTGATTTTTTCATAGTTTAAATATCGATTGAAAGCCATAAGCAAGTATAGTACAAAAGTTTGGTCAAATCGGTGGATTTCAATAGTCAAAATTTGTTTTGTGATGGTAAGTTTTGCTCGAATTTCTTAAGACACCGCAGCGTCGTATGTTCAAGATTTTGATCTACATAGTTTCACAATGCCTATTCTTTTTTTGTCTGATAACATTATGAAACAGATTGGAGAAACAATAAACATTAGTCTTGTGAAATTTTGTAGACCAAGAACGCGAATACGCGATTCTTTGATTTCTTGTTATAAACTTCATCTTTTTTAACGTTTGCACTCATTGCTTTAAAATACGATTCTTTGACCGCGTTCAGTATAGTCTGTACATTTAAGGACATGGAGCAGCGGGGACTTTTATTAACGTTCTTTGCCGAGACCGCTGTCGCGAAGCTGCCAGCCGTCAACCAGTACATTACTGAGATGACGGAGCGCAACGGCAAGTTTCTGGTCTTCGCTCATCACCGAGTGATCATGGACTCACTGTCAAGTTTACTCGCTGTAAAAGTATGCGAAAAAGTTGACCACTCAGT